TCCCTATCAAGAAAGACAATACTTTGACACTGTCTTTAAAACCAGGATGTTTTCACCCTTGCTCACAGCAAAAAAACCCCAATCAAAACCAAACCTCAGCTTAATATTTAAATGCTTTTTCTTAATATACCCTAAATAGGAACTTAATTTTCTTTCCACTTTATTCTTTCAAGGTTCACTCTATGATCTTCATGAATATAAAATATTTAAGAAAAAATTTAATTATTTTTGTGATGTGGAGTAACCAGACATTACGGAAGTCAATGAGGTAAAGAGGTTAATTGGCTACTTATACTCAGATATCTATCCTAAACTGTAACTAATTAGGAGATTCAAACTCTAGTGCTCAATAGCAACTCCAGAAGTAGGTACTGTATGGCTTTAACTGCTTAGTTACAGTACCTCAATTATTTTCAATTAACATTTTATGTCTTTCTTTTTTTTTTTTTTTTTAAAGTATCTTTACAGAGTTTGCCAGTGCTCACGATGTGATTAACTTTCATGTATTAGCTCAACACCACTTAAATACGGGCAACACTGAATTAATCAGATAACTGCAATCTTGAAATTTTCACCTACTTTTTAGTAGGATATTGCCTAAAATAAATTTGTCATTGTATAGAATCTCTTTAGAGGAATAAAAAGTCAATAGATTAAAAAAAAAAAAATAATTCAGTATATTCAGTAAAATTCAGTATACTGTAATTCTACTCATCAAGAATGACCTGAACAGAAAGCTCATATTTAGTGAGTTGAAAGGACTGGAAAATCATGTCCATAATCATGTCTTTACATCTAGAGGACTCAATGGGTAACTGAAATAAGGAAGGAGGTGTGGCTTTTTTTTCAATTTTCTGTAACTTCTCACTCTTCTTTAGCTTCCTATTCATGACTTTAGATTAGTTCTTTATGAACTGAGTTTTCTGTTGCACGGAAGAAAAACTGTTGACCTGAAGAGCAAAACCAAGAAATGCATAAATTTTTTTCCACTGTCTGCCCATCTTTGCTTGGTTGTCAAAATATCAAAACAGTTCTTTAGCACTAGAAATATATCAGTGAGATAAGGAAATGGCTCAAGTTGCCAAGTAAGTGGGAAGGCTGAGTTGCTAGCATTTCACCAAATAAAAAAAACCACAGCAAACAAATAAGACTCAAAACAAACCATTGTTGATATTGTAACCTGATATTGCAATGCCAACTTTTCTATCCAAAACAGTAAACTACCTGTGAAACTGTTTTCTTTATTTCCTCCAAAGAAATGGATGTCACCTCTAGTATCCTTATTAGGAAAACACAACCTTCTGAAGCCCCAGAAGTAGCATCAAAAATACAACAGTTGTTCAAGTGATTAAGATATTTTTAGAAGAGCTGCCATGCTATTCAATACAACGAATAAATAAATGAAGGAATGAGGCTCCCTGCTCATAGAAAAAAAGCTTACAAGTAATATGTAATTAATAAAAATAAGAAAATAAAAAATAATTTTAAAATTACTTTTTGGGAAGTCTAGTTTTTCAATATTCTTGTGCCAGAGGCACCAGATGGCATTGTACAGACTTCTATGCTCTTAAAAAAATCCCAGTCTTGAGCCGTTTTGATTTGTTTGAATTTTTTGTTATACAGTTTGAAAAGAGGCACTACTGTGGAGAGCTGGCGAAACAGCTGAAATATCTGTGTTCATTGTACTCTTAGGTTTTAGGGAAGAACTGTTCTATGTGCAACAGTGTTTACATGCAATCCTGAGAAAAAATAAAAATAATAATTAAAAAATCATCTTCCTTGATCATCTCTGTTCCATAGCTGTTTTTTCCATAGTGTCAGTTATAATTTGGTTATTGCCAAAATCAACATCACTAAATTTTCACTCTGCTAAGAACCAAACATCATGTATTTGCTATTCCCTAATAGGAGAAATAACAATCTGAGAAAAAAAACGCATAAATATAAACCTACATGTTTTTATAGAGAATAAGATAGTACTCTGAATATAATTTTCACAATAATCATAATAACAACAACAATAATAATAAGAATATCCTTATTATTTCTTATATTCTTCGTAAGAACAGAATATATTTCTAACTTTCATGGGTTACTCTACATTCCATTTTTTCTTAACTTCAGTTTACCAAAGAATATGAAGATATTCTAACAAGCTTCTCCATGCCCAGCAATTCATAACAAAGAATCAAGAGGCTAAGGGAATGTTAGTTATTTCTCTTCATTAACTTTTAGCATTATATATAAAGTGAACGAAAACAGAACTCATTAACTTTTTGCTGTATGTGTAGTTTGGTAGTCCAGTAATAAGTATTGCCACTACTAGTAACAAGCTATTGAGTTTGCAAGATCTCTGGGAAGAGGCTTGCCAGGCTTCCTTTGTCTGAAAGTGTCTGGAGTTGCCTGGAGTTTGTTTTGTTCTAGTTTTGGGGTTTTTTTTCTGACTTGGCTTAGCTGCAACATCAAATTTTCTTGTGATCAGGTGACTATGACTAGTTTTTATACCTTCCTTTATCTCTGTGTGGTACAACCACAGCTTTATATCCACAGTAGGAAAAAAAAAAAAGATATTATGTGCAAAATGAGATAGTTACCATGAATGTGATGTTGTATAGTGAAATACAGAGCTGCTACTGCAATGATAGCAAAGGCATTGAGAAATGGTGACACAGGATACTGTGAAAAAGACTACAGGTGTGGGTAGGATAAGAGATGTCACACAGGTTCAGCACTGGAGACCCCATTGCTGTGAACAACTCACCCTTGGTCACTTTAAGAAATGGAGATCCGGACAGAATCAGGTTTTGGGAGTAAAAAAGAACAAGTATTTAACATCAGTGAAATGCACCTTACAGAGTAGATGGAAATACAATGTAGAGTTGCAGTGTGAGTGGTGTAAAAGTGTGTTAGAAACATTACAAATAAGCCCAGGTGAATAAAGAAGAACAGAGACTAAAAAAAAAAAAGAAAAAAATAAGTCAAAATCACATTTGTGCCAGTGAAGCACTCCAGACTCTGACACTAACATCCCCCACTGACACAAGGCTGAAGCCACAGACCTCAGGATGCTGAGAAGCAGAAGGAACCAGGAAAATTACATGGTGTCTGATAAATCTTAAATTACATTTTCATTGACACAGTGATGATGCCAACTCTGCTAATGCAGACAATTATACTGTGGTAGTACTTCCCTTCTCTTGGAATTCAATCAACACTGAAGTTTTTATAAGCATTATATTCACAGAAGGAGATTATTTGCAACGTGGCTCCATATCTGCAGATGAAGTTTCATACAACATTTCAAAAAAAAGAACCCAAGAGCTAACACAGGGCTACCACTACTGTAATGTGGCTATTTTCATTTCTAAATTCAGACTGCTCTTTGGCTCCTCTCAGGCTTTAACATAGGGTAAAATAGCTGAATTGCTACAAAAATATATGTTGGAAAAGTATGAGAAGTAATAAATCTTACATGTATGACTGATTGGTCTAAACAGTTCTAAACTGTTTCTTCAATTCAGTAGTATCTTGTGTTAAAACAGCTTATAGTGAAAGTGTTATAAGCAATTTTCTATGTTACTAGAAATATATCTGAAGAAATACTTCAAAACTACAGTTTCTTTCCAAGAAGCAATTTATTTTCCAGATTACAGATGAAGTCAGTATTCACTAAGTTCTAAAGATATTTTGTCTTCATTGTAACACACTGCTAAGGCAGATCTGTCAAATAAAAAGATACTCAGGTGAAGGTAAACATTCTAGAAGTACATTTTCGTAACAATTAAAGCAGATGATGCTACTCATTTAAATGTCATGCCTGATATCCAAGTAGCACTAAACTGGTATTTTGATGTTATTTCAACACACAAGAACCTGATCTGCTCCTGTCTGCTGAATGCAATACCGAACAATAAAATCCATGCAAAATTCTGTTACCTCTTTGTTACAAAGCTCCTATTTAACAGTTGAATCAACATTCAAATGTGAGGCAGTGCTTTTTGTGCTTTTGTTAGCATAGGTTCTAGGAGGTCAGGTTTTGATACACCTTTCAGTCCAACCTGGAATTACGTCATATATGCCTGAACTTTCAATGCAATCAATGAGATAGGAAAACAGAGAATCAGGAGTGGGGGAAATAACAAGAACTAAAAAATAGTGCTGTGGAAGTTCATGACTTGACATTAGTATTGCAAAAAGCAAGTGACAGCCAGTGATATAGTCAGGTAAAAGAGGAGGTATTGTCATTTGTTGAAAAGCACTTAAAACTGGACTCCACATATGAAGACTTGAATTCTACTGTCAAGCTACAGCTTGATTTTTTAATGAGACAGAGACATAAATTTAAAACTTAAAATTTGCATCATTTAAGTGACCCTGTTAATATTAGTTTAAATGTGAAGTATTTAAGAGAATTTTTTTAAAAAAAACAACCAACCAACCAAAAAAAAAAACCCAAAAGCAAACAAAAAACCCATCGAACCCCCGAAATGAGAAAAAAAAAAAAACAACAAAACAAAACAAACCACCCTGGATTAGAGTCAGAAAACCATCTTATATATCCAACAGCAACAACTCCCTGTTATGTGTTTGCCAACTGCAAGACACTTTGCTTAATCTTGCATAAGCCTTATTGGTCTCTTGTTTAAAATGGTAGACAACAGATCTATCAGGTTAAAGAAAATCAAAGCCATCTCATCTTCAGCATCTTGGTATAGTTTAGAATTATTCTTTACCTTTCTGCTATGGATAGAAGGAAAAGTCATTATTATCCCATTCATACAGGAAGTTAATTATAGCATAATATAATTCATTTATAATATGTTTGTGGTTTAAATGAGTCATAACGTTATTGAATACATAGTAATGTAGTATTTCTTTCTAGGATCTCCAGACAATAACTTGTCTAGAACTGATCATTTTCACTGTTGTTTCCACCCAATAAAGAGCTAAACCCAGCTTTGCCTGTATGACTGATACTTCTATCCTGTTCTGTATTAACTAAGCAATCATATTTAGAGAAGCCAGAAGTTGCAGCAGACATTTAGTTACTATATAAAACCAAATTCTCTACATGAGCATGAGGAAAGTTGCCAGCTAGGTAAGGAGACTATAGCTCCTACAGTTTAAATCTGCTAGACACTAATCTTACAACTGTGGAATCAAGGCTGCAAATTCTGACAGAAGGTACACTTCTTTTAGCAATTATATATCAGTTGACATTTTGACTGATATTTTGACAGTTCCACGTTAGGTGTGAGTGGTGGTTTTTTTCATAACTACAGCTGCACCACAAGTAAGAAAGCCTTCATTAGCTTTTTCAGTGACAGAAAGCTCATTAATATGTCAGAGAAACTGTGACAATAAAATTGTAGAAAATGGTCATTGCAATGATTCATTTCTTACACAGTTGAATTAAGAGTTGCCCTCTAGCATAATATTATATTATACCCAAAGGAAGTCAGCCCAAGGACTGCCCTTGCATATTCTACCTTGGCTCAAAACAGCACTCCATTCCCTGGAGTGCTGAGACAATTATACTACCACTCACATATGATTGTGATCTAGCACAATCTGAAAACCCAAAGACTGCTAAAACAATCACTAATCAGAAGGAGTACTGCATAAAGGCCACCAAAATGACAAGCCAAAGAAGTTTTTGGCTATAAAACATTGGCTACAACCTTTTCTTTTAAAAAACTAATTTCATATTGTAAACCTATTCAGTCAGCCCTTTCTTTCATATCTGGCAATCTGCAGTTTTTGTTTAACTCCTGCTACTAGACAGGCACCACACACAACCAGGGAGCTGCTAGTTTACTCTTCTGCCTAGTCCTCTTCACATGGCTGGAGCTTTCATCCCTGACACCACACATAGATGCAGCAGGATAGAAGCTTTCTTAGTTTATTTTCAGCTGCCTTACCAGATTCCTAGCAAATTATAGGACACATTTCTGCATCTGTACACCATTCACACATTAAAACATCTCACTGACATCACAGTTTTGTGTGATTCAGAAAATCAGAAATTCATAAGCATTTTAAATTTCACAATTATGTTTCCAACTGAAGCATATGCAAACATCACTTGCCACAACACACTCTTGTAACAAAGGCATCCAACATTCTCCTGGGCTGCATCAGGCAGAGCATTTCCAGCAGTTTGAGGGAGGTGATTCTTCCGCTCTGCTCAGCACTGGTGAGATACAAGTGGGTGCTGGGTCCAGTGCTGGGCTCACCAGTGCAAGAGGGACAAGGATATACTGCACTGACACCAGTGATGGGCCACAAAGTTGATTAAGGGACTACAGCATCAAGTATTCAAGGAGTGGCTGAAAGAGCTGGGATTGTCCAGCTTGCAAAAGAAAAGGTTCAAAGAGAGTACTATCAGTGTGCATTAAAATTTACTGGGGACAAGAAAGGTGACGGAGGCAGACTTTTTTTCAGTGGTGCCCAATGACAGGACAAGAGGCAATAGGCACAAATTGAAACATAGAAAATTCTGTTTAAAAACAAGAAGTAAAGGTGATCACCTTGGAAAAGGTTGCCCAGAGAGGCTGTGGAGTCGCTATCCCTGGAAATATTCAAAACCACTTGAACACAGCCCTAATCAACCTGTTGCAGCTGACCTTGCTTTGAGAAGGGAGGTTGAATTAGAAGCTCTCCATAGGCTCCTGTCAACCTCTGTAACTCTGCAATTCATTTGTGGTCACATCATTTCCGAATGTAACAAAAGAATTGCACACAGGAAAAAAACCAAACCAAACCAAATCTGTTTTTTTAAGTATGTCTACACTAGCAGTTTGACACACAATATACACATGTTTAAGGAGGAAAAAGTCTACTTGATAAACAGTAGAGAACATATATATTGGTGGGGAGACACTGAACTCCTTCAAGGTGAAAACAAGTAGAACTTGATCATCAGGGTTTCATGTAGTGCATTGCTAATAAGGATACAAGGTCAATGTAATGTAACAACTAGAAATAAGGAAACACAGTAACATTCCAGCAACCATCTCTTACAAGGTATCAGCAGTTTCTGGACCTCTAATCAGAAGTGTCTAGACTTTGAGGTAATACAAAAATAGTTTCATATGCAAGTTACTAAAAAATAGTATACTCTACCTGATAGCCAAATGTGTTGTTTTGTGACCCATGCCTTGGGACTCCTGGATTTTCACATGCTGTGCGAGTAGGTTCTTAAAATAAATATAAAAATAATAATAAAAAATAAAGACAGAACAAATTACAGCATTTTAATTAAATATATGAATGTATCACAAAATTTAGCTTGGACAACAACCTGCAATGAGCCAATGAGAGAAACAAAAACAAAGTGACTTGATTCTTACAGAGTATAGGATAACACCACGATAATTCAAAATAGCTAAACATTCCTAGATTGACTTATCAGGAAAAGGAATAATAAACATTTCAAGAAATTTCAATAATATAGGTGTAACCTTACCTATACATCGAGGAGAAGAACCACTCCATGTGCCATCTGCTTGGCAAATCCTGGTGCTGGAGCCAACCAGAATAAAAGGAAGATTGCAGCTGAAAGAGACTTCTGACTGGTAGATGAAGCTTTTGCCTTCTCTTTTCCCTTGTGCAGGTATTCCAGGGTCACCACAAAACTTTGCTGTGAAAAAAGACATGATAGAAATGGAATGTGTCATTTATTAAAAGACAGAAAAATAACACTTACCTGAACTCAATCAAGCAGTTACTCCAAATTTTATATTTATTTTATTAAACACAGGTCAAATACAGAAACATTTCATAGGAATTCAAAGAAAGACTACATAGTCCATCTTTAGTCTGCTTTAGTCTGGAGTATTTTTGCTAGCTGTTCAAAATGCCTAGATAGTGGGCTCGGTCAGCAGCATGAAGGTAACACTCAAGGTTACACAACTGGTTTTATTAAGGCCCAAATACCAACATTTCACCTCTGCCTCAAACAACATCAAGCTGCACATCCTCTTATAAAGAGCAATCAGAGTGTACCAAACTGTCACGTTAATCTTCCATCCTCTCCTGATTTCTGCCACCTCTACCCAGTCCTCAACATTTTTGTATGATTAAAGGATTTTTCAGATAGATTTTAGGAATTGTAAATTCTTACTTCCTCATCCTTCACTGAAGGATAAGATTTGGTATGTATGGAAGTATAACACTTGAAAGTACAACTAACAACAACAAAAAAAAAAGAGTAAAGAAATTTCAGCAGCGATCTAAAAGTCAAACACTAATAAGCTGTTATTAGGTGGGATAAATTTGACTGGTAAGAACATATTCTTAAATTGATCTTTTTACTTTATTTCCACCTCTTAAAGATTCCTTAAGGCTATAGCATAGCATAACTATGTAAATGCACTGCTGGCAAATTTACTGGCCTTTTGCAGTATAAAGTACTGATTATTATCATAAGCTAAATTTTGAGTAATTGATTCAATCAGCTATGGCAAACCCTGTGCAATCAGACTATATTATTCCCTGATACATAATGAATTCCAATATTGTAGAGCCTAATTTCATATTAAACAGAAAATGCTGTAATACACACAAAAAAATAAACCACTAAACCGTATATGTGCAATGACATATTTCTAAAAAGGAATGTTGTACAGACAGTGGAATTTTCTGTTCCATCTTTCTCTTCTACAAACAAAATTTAAATAACATCTTCTAAACAACCACCTTCAAAATACATTTCTAATATCTATCTTTGTCACCTATGCCTTAAGCTTTCCAAAGCACCTGCTCACATTAAATGCTCCTGCTCTCCACCTCTTGCTGCAGACACTGACTGTATGGGAAATCCATGTACACACACACACATTGTTGAAGAAAAAGGGCTTTATACATTCCAGAAATGTATACAATTTCATAGCTTTAAGTGGAATGGGACTGTCTGCAGAATTATAGGCCAAATTCTGAAAAGATCTATGAAGTGAGGATAGTGCCACACAGTGAACCTCATTGTCTGATTGACAGATCATGGTTGTAATTTATGTTTTTATTAGAAAATTCTGTGGAAGTCTTAATTTGAAAATACATTAAACACTTACAGATTTTTAACACAGAGGCTTGAAATTGTCTCCTGACAGTTCTTTCCAGCAACAAAACAGTAACAACTCTCAAGGAAAAAAAAATCCTCACATTAAAAAATGTGGGTTTTGTAAGTTTATTAATTTTTTATAAAAATAAGTAAACTTCACCACTTAGTATTCAGTCAACTTTACCCAGTCATTGAATAGCTACTAAATATCTGCCTTCTATATAGGTTACGATGGAAACCAGGTACTATGGTAAAACATGGCAGTTTTCCTCTGATATTGGAACAGGGTACTATAGAACAAACTAAAGTTGCAGCAAACTGGAAGGTCTGGGAGTGCTTCCACTCCAAATGGAAATATTATCCTATGGACTCTGAGAGCCTTTAAAAGACATTTAATTGATTAACAGCAAGTTATATCTGTAGGTAGGAATTTTCAGGCATAGGCTTTTTTTTTTTTTTTTTTTTTTTGACATCTATTGCCAAGCCAATAAAAACAGGAGTCCTTTACTCAAATTTCTATACGAATAATTAAGCAGACAAATTTACCAGGTCAGAGATGACAAATACTCAACCAAAACATGACTACATTCCATTTTGCAAAATTATTCCTTGTTATAACTATACCTTGCATATCTTCAGCTACAAGCTCTATGGAACCAAGCTGGGAACTAAATTTCTGATGTCAAGAACTGCTTAAAGATTGCTCACTGAGAATGACTTTCACCACTTCCCTCTCATTTCTGACAGATGGCAGCTAGTTTAAGCTCTTTGACAAGCACTGGCTGCCAATTTACTTCTCTTGCAAACCAATGGGTAACCATTGCACATCCACAACATTCAGTTAATGCAATCTCTGCATGAAACAGCCTTTAATTCCCAGGTAGCTGCATTCTGTGCTAACTATACATTTTAAAAAGTTTAAAGGTAGACCCTCTTTTTCTATATTCAATATAGCAGTATTGAGTATTCCAAACTTAAAGATGACAAATAGCTTGTGGTATCCAAAAATTAATGTAAGGACACAGATTTCAATCAAGACCAAATGATTAAAATATTTTTTCATGGTTTTTGATGTTCATAATATTGTGGACTCTAGAAGAGCTCCATCTAAAGAACTTAACAAATGGTGTGGGAGACTTTCTTCCAGAAACAATGCCTTTCACCACATTGCAGCTCTGGCACATACAGTTTCAGCAACACTAAGCAACTGCTGTTGACAATATGAGACTATCATTAGGAAAAAAAAAGATCATCTCTATGATTATGCTTTCATAGTAGTAGGATATAGCCAAACCAGATAACATTTTTCAAAAGGAGAGATGAAGAATGCAAAGAATAGTAAAAGAATGGAGAACTGCATTTTGCAACATGTAGCAAGCTACCTGGCAAGTTCAGCTACATGGCAAGCTCAAATTAAACTTCAGAAATTGTAAAGACACGAAGATTAAATTATCTTCTTCCAGTTAGACTCCTTGCTCAAGATCATTACAGAGTTTTAGTGGTATAGCTTTTCTACAAATAACTACAGAACCTCCTTCTTCAGTGTAATCAATTGAATATCTCTCAGAAGTATTACAATCACTTCTTTAAAAAGATTTTTTAATTAATGAGTGGAATGACACCAACCTACAGAAAAGCCACATTTGCTATTGTAATGAAATTTGTAGCAATTTAAAAATCCATCAATTTTATAACTATCAGTTCAACAAAATTTACTGCATAAAACATATAACTTAATATAGTGTAGGGCGAGGCAAGGAATAGACAATTGTCAAGGAATGACCCTGGGGCCTAGTCAGCATTACAGACAGAAAAAATTTGCTGTGACATCAGAGAAAGTTTAGGATGAATAATGAGCAAATAAAAGAGATTATAATGAAACTTCCCCTATTCTATATGTAGCTGGATCAGAAAACAAGACAGCATCTCTTAATCTTGTTTTGCCTTGGCTCATTTGGTACACATTGCCAGTAATTTTTTTTTTTTTTTTTATGTTTGTGTTTAAGGCTTCCTACATGCTTACAAAGGATTTACAGATATTTCTATGTCTTCCTCAATCTACAAATTATGTTACAATTTTGGAAAACATAGACAGATTGTATTTGTCCCAGCTTTGAAATGAACTGAGCTCTTGCTGGGGGTTAAAAAAAAAAAAAAAAAGGGTGAAAACTACAGTTAAATAAAGAAATACAAAATACAGGACTGTAAAGTAATACATACGCAAGCACTGAGGTACTTCACCACTCCATGTTCCATTCCCAACGCAAGTCAGAACAGCTGGAAAAGAGAGTTCATATCCTGGAGAGCAAACATAGCTAATGCTAAATCCCCAGTCCAAGTTTGTTCCTTCCAACCTTCCATTAGAGATCTGCGGAGGAGTTGGGCAGGTAACAGCTGCAATAATATTCAAAATAATTAGGCCCAGCTGCTGTAAATATCCCCAGTGTACATAATTACTAGAACCATATGTGCTAATTTCACCTTTTTTAGAGGACAATACAATCAGGACATACTATCTTCCTCACTGTATTCTTGCCACTTTTCCTTAAGTTAGTATTTCTGGTTTCCTTCATTTAGGAGAAAGTGGCTGATTGATTATGTGTCTTAAATAAAACAGGATGCTGCATCAAACCATATAGGAAGACTACCTAAAAATCAGTATGGAGAATATGTAGCGTACAACCTTTAAGATATGACTGGTAATGATTTTTTTTGTTTAAGCAACATAGAGTAAAACTATCTTTAGTTACCATTGTAATAATCAAATACTTTCTTCCTCTTAACCAACTTAAGTATTTGCTAGATATTAATGTCCAGGGATGAAATTCCAGGATAATTGCTCCAAAATATGACTTGAAAGTCTGTTTCTAAGGACCACAGTTTGGTTAGTATTTGCTTCTTGAATAGCTCCTCACCAAAAAGCATCTAGCTTCTAGATAGAGAGAGAAAATTTAAGGATTTGTAACCTCTTGAAATTGTCATCATTGCTAGCTCTAAGAAGGCCAACAGTAAGTATTTCAGTATAGTTTCTTATTTATAGGCATCCCAGGAAAAAATAGAAACATCTTCTACTCAGTTATAGGAAAGAGGACTGAAAAACATGACAGGAAGGCAGTAGAAATAAACAGACATAACTTTAGTGATGAAGCTAAAAGTGATATTCACTGGATAATGGGCTAGTAACAGACAATTGTTAATTGAGAGCTGAAGGAAAAAGGCTATAAAATAAGTTAAATGAAAAAAATATGAATCAAAAGGAGAAAAGGGGAAATTTGGGCCATAGTTACTAGAATGAATGAGAGAGAAAAAGGGAGTAAAAAGAGAAAAGTTGAGAAAAACTTTGTTAGCAAAAGAGAAAAAAGAAACCACATTAAACTAATATGATTTAATTTAGCGGTGATGGTTGGAGTAAATGAGAAAAGGTGGTGACTAAAAATAAACCAGAGAACATACAGGTCACAACATACAAGTCACAAAACCAGAGGAAATTAAAAGCTGCACTCATAACCTTTAAATCTATGTTTAGACAGCTGTCATCTTGCAGGCTCAAAAGAAGTCAGAAGCACAAGATCAGGAGTACTGAGTATTTGAATGTGATCTGCAGCAGGTTCACCATGTACCATTTCTCTATTCTTATTATACACTTCAGTGAAAGAATCTCAACTGTTTACACTACAAAGATGCTCTGCAGCATCATTCATGGCTGTTTGAGAATGCTGGGTGAAAGTAGTATTATTATCAAATAATCCTTTGCCAATCAGTAAACCAAATCTAAATTTTAAAGCCCTTTAAAATTTTTGAACTTTTTGCTTCCCTTGCTCTGGCTCATAGTTTAAAAACAAACACAACACCAACCAATCAACCGTAAAAAGGACATGATAGCTTTTGTCATACTTTCATGATGCTTTAATAAAAGTAAATAAAATGAGCATTCCAAGCAGCAAACATCTGTCTGCATTCTCCAAGAGATTCATGACTAGTCCTCTTAAAAAGATCTGTATGTTTTAACTTCTGAGTTGAATAATAAGGGAAGAAATACTAGTCAGTAATTAGGAAAGGAGACAGAAGTAGCATGAAATCAGAACTCTGGGGTGAAAAAAGCAAAACAAAACAACACCTAGCAACAAGGCAGCATGCCTCTAAATATTTTGCTCATAGATTCAACCATAAATACATACAACAACATTTCTTAGTTTAAGACCTGAAAGTATATTACAAATGCAAGTCTGCAGAAAAGACAATGCTTGAATAGTTGAATACTTAGTTGCAGATGAACATGCAACCTTTTCCAAAGCCAAATGATTTTTTTATATCTTTTATTTCAAGCTGCAACTACACATTCATTTTCTGTCCGATTCATTTTCCAATTATTTTAACTAAATGGTACCAGAGAACCCTGGCACTTCTTCCTGACAGTAAGAACTAATTGTTACACAATTCAAACACACTACTACATATTATATATTACTTTTAATTGCACAGACAAAGAAATAGGGGTTATTAACTTAACCTACTGTACTCACACAAACCTGTGTGGAGTAGAACGAAATTCTGAGAACACTAGACATTCTGCATATTATTATTATTTAGTATTTATATAAGCTATAAATATGACCTAAACCAACAAAGACTCAAAAACTCAAAGCCAAAATTGACAGTCTAACTCTTTCTTGGTATGGTTCTGTTTGAATCAAATCAGAGCTAGATTTCCTGCTCCCAGTTAGGTGCCTTTTAGCCCTGAAGAATTTGAGGCTGGGACACTACATCATAAATACTTCTTCTGTCTTATCATCTTCTAGCTGTTCACTTACAGCCACTCTTGGAGACAGACTCTGGGTCAACAGGACCAGTATGGTTGTTCTTCTGTCCTTAAAATCAATTTTGTGATTGAAGCTGAGGCTAAGAACACGGTAGCGGCAGGAAAAAAAGTGAATTGTTAAGAGGATCTCAAAGTCTGACATCCTCAAGAACGTGTTGGGAAAATAACTTTAAAAATTTCCATTATCAAAGGTGAATTAGAATTAAACCAGACTTGGTAAGATATTGAAGATATTGGGAGAATTCTATTCAGCAAGGAAAGTAATTGCAAATGGGGTAGAGATTTGAAATTTATTTGATCTGTTTTGATGAATGAATTCAGGGGAGGAAAATGAGAACTGCTGAGCATGTATGCAACCATGCAACCATACTTCCTGAAAACAAAACAGAAGGAAGATGGATGAGAACTAAGTAGTACAAACTTAGCCAACTAATTTTTAAAAGGATAGAGATCAGACATACTCAAGTATAAATCCAGAAAGAAAACACCAAAATTGTAATGCTGCTTCTCTACAGCTGTGGTATAAGGAAGAGGGAGAAAAATTACTCTAGGGAGAAGGTGTTTTAGGGTTTAGCAAGCAAATTTCTCAGAGAAAATTGCTTTGATGACACAGATTAAATGGTCTTTTGGTAATGTTCAGATTTTTTGTTTAGATTTCAACAGAGAGCATTAAAAAATTCCAATAAAACAGAAAAATCAGGAATGCAATTAGTAAAAGAGAGAAAAGGAAGATCTTGAGATTAATCCCTTCAGTTTTCACAGTAGAGAAAATAACATGAAGCAGAAAAAATGTTTATTAGGAAATCTGCTAGAAGGATTTAGTCTTTTTGTTGAGCATGTCACAGCACAGTGATGCTCAAAGGTAAACATCTAAGGAAGGAGGCATCAAAGAATAATCTTAGTATTATGGATAGAGTAACTCACAACAATTTGCCTTTGACAAAGTTTATTTGCATATATGTAGATCTTTCCTAAAGGTGTTTATCACATGCTTGAGTGGTCATTTTGTAAAGACAGAAACATATATAAGGTTATTTTTGGTATGACATGCTAACCTTAAACAAACAAATCTAAACCATCATTGCATATTGACTAATCCAATTTACCAGCAAAGTAATAAAAAGCTCTATAGAGCTACAAAAAACTGTTCAATATATTGTGCTGATATGAAAAATAAAAGGGAAAAGATGCAAAGGAATAAGTCATCATTTCTGCAGCCAACAAATCAAGTGTATTCATACTAACAGTCAATTTTGATTTCTGTAGAAGTATTTGGCTGACTCATTACAACAAACAGTGGATTTAAAAGTCATAGAGGAAAAAGTCGACAATCAAAATAAATGTACCTTTGCATGTTGGGATTACTCCACTCCATGTGCCATTGCTAGTGCAAGTGCGAATTAAGGAGCTTTGTGATTCCATTGTATAACCAGGTTGGCACATATAAGTAACATTTTGTCCAACAACATAATCGTCACCATATCTCATGCCATTGGCTGGGACTCCTGGATCTCCACAACTGATAACTGCAAGTAAACAGTTGAGGAAAAGATTTTAAAACCTAAATGTGTTTTATTTATATGTGAGGGGAAAAACATTGTGTAAAACTAGGAATTTATTGGAGAAAAAAGGAGAAGGAAAAAGTTTCATAAATCTTATCTCCGTCAAGAGAAGATAAACATATACATCATTTGAATTAGCTGTCAAACACAACATGTGGAGCTGTATAACAGTTACATTTGGAGAACATCAATACATCTGTTCAACAGTGGAAGCAATGGACAGTAAAATTTCAAGATTATAAAATGAAATAAAAAGCAAGAAATAATTCATATATCACTACTACGCTTGGATACCCTCAGATTTTCCTAACAGTCCAGAGCTTCATTATTAAAGAAGCATATTGTTTAGATTACTTTTCCATGGTTACATCCAGAAAGGAAAAACAGTCTGGAAAAGTTAAGATACATGTCTGCAAAAAGCTCCCACTTTGTAAATGCTCACATGGTTACTATGTACATAAACAGATAAGAATTCTCAGGCAATTCCCAAACATGGGCTATGATTTAAGACAAAATTAGGCCTATAACACTTTAACAAGTGGGAACGATTGTAAAACCTTTGGTGACTTCTAGTGTCAGGAGATAATTTCATCTCCCAATGAGATTAAATATTCATAAGCAGTTAATAAATAATTATATAATTATAAGCTAAGAATAAAGTTAAAATAAGTAAGTTTCTATCAGATCTGGTCAATTGACCTATTAATTTCGGGAACAGTTTTCAGAGTAAGAAAACTTGAGAACCCTAGTTGCAATTATAAAAAGCTGCTGTCTTCAGGGAAAAAAAACAAACACCAGGAAAAAAATCTAGTTCATACAAAATACAGCACCCATGTGTTTTACAGTTTATCTTATAGTAAACCTGACAATCCCCCTACAGCACAGTTATTACTTCTGGACAATTGTGGGAGGTAGTTTTCCTGGGCAGAAAACAGATCCTGGCCACTTCTAACTCAATACCAAATCATGACCGATGTGAGAATTATGAATCGAAGGTATACAGTATGCCTGCTCTACAGTTTAGCATAGTCTGAGTGAGCAGATAGTAACTAAGCTGCTTGTATCAAATCTTCAAAAAAAAAGTATTGTGTATTTTAGAACTGCTTTTATTACCTGTACCAGCTTAGATACAAGTTGCAGCACCTAGCAGTGCTTCTGCCCGCTGTTTAGGAATTAGTTAATAGTCAGCAGTGACCAAAAGGGCAGAAATGAGTCAGGATGAGATTCTCTTGAGTTCATATCTCTTTTGGTTAAGATTTTCATTCAACCATTCTTTTCGTATTCTGACCACTCCAGGGGATATGCATCAAACTAAAGACCCCTAAATAGCGTTATGATTGGAATAAACATATAGGGGAATATATTTTTTTGAAGAGTAATCATAACAAAGAGAGAGCTGTGTATTAGGAATGTCAATAATTGTATTGCATAACAAAGTTAAAATACTTATATATTAATTAAATCAAGAATTATTTTTCTATTACATATAATCTCCAAAATACTTCTCTCTGTTTTATTAGGACACTTTCTCTGTTAAGACATTTTTCTAGGTTTTAAGCAAAAATCCCAAGTTTCTACCCAAGTACTGTTTTTTTGAAAAATCTATTCTAGCAGGTATTTCAGCTAAATGTCATTCTAAAACACAATAAAAAAAATACAGATCTAGTTGCTGCCACGGAACACCTTTATGCTTTGTGCAATTACACTGGTTCTCATTATAATTTGGAAAATAATAAATAAACACAAAAAAACCCACTGGGCTCTCTTACAGGTTTGCTGACTACAAAAGCAGCTGTTCACATGCTTCCCATTAAAGATGTATTTGTAAACAACACAAGAAGAAGTTTTATTTATCATCTTACTTTTGGCCTCTATTTGGGTGTAAAGTGTGTAAAGTAGCCGACTCTATGAAAACTAGGGTCCTAGTTCAAAATTTAAGCAACACTTTGCTATACCTCTGATGATGATATGTTTCCTCAAAATGATAGGCAGTCTCATGTATCACATAAATGTAAAAGTTTCATAATTGTTACTAAAAGATTAAGTAGGACATGTAATAAAGCAGGAAAAGATGGACTTGAAAATAAACTTGCAAAATGCTTATTATGAATGTGAGAGAAGCTGAACTATCTTCTGTTGGTTGGGTTACCAAAGCAAGTATAAGGTTAATGAAGAGGCCAAATAGATGTTATCTGAGAGTAGGATAACAATTTTGACCTCAGAGTCACTACAAAAAGAATTCACAAGCATTTATTTCAAGGTTTTTATTTTCTGCCCTCTGGAAAACCAGAATATTATACTGCTAAGTTTTCATGATGAAGAAAAGCAACTAAATGAATAATTTCTGAATAAGATATATCAAAATATAAACAAGATTAAAAATATATACCAGGAAAGAAGTAGATAGATCATGTAACCATACAACTCCTTTAAACTGCAACAGTAGTTTAAATATTTTACTATACTCTATTTCCCTTTGAAAAAAACGTATTCTTCATCTTCTCATAGCACTATATTTTTTAGAAGTATTTCATGTACAAAATTAGGTATGAAATAGTGTAAAAAAAGTTGAAGACAGTTTATTTGCATCCAACTTCTGTATTTTACTTTATTGTCTTTCAGAGGAGAGAAAAACAAAGACTATTCATTAGAGATGTGTCTTACTTGTGCAGTTTGGCAAGGATCCAGACCATGTTCCATTGGCAGTACATTGTCTTACAGATGATCCAGAAAGTATATATCCTTCCATGCATGAATAAATTACTGAATTAGAGAATGTAGTTCCATCAATACGAAATACTTTTCCATTTGCGGTTGTTCCTGGATTACCACATTGCACAGCTATAGATCAAAATATTAGATATTTTTTAAATGTAGTAAAGATAATTTTTTAAATAGTAATGTCTAAGGATAATCTTGATGCAAGCAGTGTTAAATGGTAGAAATCTGTGCTGTGATCCTGAAGAATCTAAGTTTCACCAACTACTGATAAGGCACATTGTACAGTCAACAGCTGTTTGCATGAACACACTCTATGAATTTAATTTTAAAGTCTGCATTAAAGAAAAGCTAGTTTAGCTGCAAAGACAAGCTCCCAGTTATGCCTAGACTACAATTATCACTGTAGATTTAATTTGACTCTATAGTATGTATGCATTTATAGTGTACATTTCCTACCTAATTCAAAACACAGGACAGAGTCGTTATTATTTCAAAGGCAAGTTTAAGCCTGCTGTTTCACATTCTTCAGTGGTCAACTTCGGAATTTGAATTGTCTTCTTATGTGATTACATATACACATCTAATCTATATAACCTAAACTAGAACAATATACCTGTGTATGCAGTACACACAGATATATATATATATATATCTGTGAACCAGAATCACAATTTCAAGACATTTTTAGGGGAAAAAATAATACCAAAAGTATCTTAAAATATAAAAGAGGAAATTTGCTTCTGTAATAGATAGGATTAAAGAAGAACAGAAGAAAGTTCAGTTGAGGTAAGTAATTCCCTTCAGATACCAACGTACCAACATACCAACATACAAACACATATATATACTTACGCTGTGTCAGGATGGGAATCATTTAGCAGAAAGGATATCACAAAACCAGCTTGTGAACTAGGTTTTTACAATGAGATTACGTATTTCATACAGATAACACAGTCAACAGTGATAAAGTGGTAATAAGAGTACAGGTTGTCAAATGATTTCCTCCTTTTCAGGAAGATTTTTTTGGAAGCAGAGTCTTTGGAAATTACTTCCTATTTTTGAATCAACATAATTAATGTAATAAATGATTCTCCATAGATATCCTGTTAGAGCTTTCTTTTGAGATAATATATCTAGCTTAAAATTTCAGAAATGATTTTTTTTTCCAAATAAATGTGTTTCAGCATTTCATTTTCTATTGAAATATAATAAAAATGTCAACAGTATTAGTGAATAAAAGTTTTAAGCTGAGAAATTATGACATAGATGTAGCTAATGAAATCCTCACACTGACACTTTCCTAAAACTCAGCTCTTTTCTCTGAAATTCAGATGTATAATGGTTGTCATTAATGATCAGGTGATGGTGAGGTTTATAATGGAAAAAACCTTTCAGGAAAAGTTGAGTTCTGGAAGTCTTATTTGTTTTTCTCATTATTTTTTTGTATTGGATAACACATATAGTTGGTTAATGCTGACATAAGTAGAAATAAACAGCTCAATATACTTTTTTTTTTTTCTCAAAACTTGGAAAACTTGCAGTTTCATGTGTGCCAGGAACGGTTTTCAAATTTTTCACTTGACAACAAGTCATTGCTATAGTGTAACAACTTACTGAAAAAAATGTAACGGTCAGTCCGAAATCATCATATACTAGTCACAATACAAAACTAGCAATGTAAAATTGGTTTTCTGATTAGTACTTTTAACAAGACAGTTTAAAAAAAAGCGGATCTTCTGTGATTTACCTTTGCATTCAGGTTGTTTTCCTGTCCAACTTCCATTTGCCATACATGTTCTTTCTTCTGAGCCATGGAGGATATATCCAATATCACAGCTGAAATGTACCGTGCTTTTAATTTTAAAATTGTTTTCTTCCCTAGACCCATGACCTGGGATACCTGGATCACCACAAGAACCAGCTGCATCACCTACAATTTAGAGTGCAAATATTAGAATAAGTATGAAATTTTATTATGACACTGCAATTAAAATAAGTTTCTATGTATTTTTAAATAAAGGTGTCATCAAGTTTTTATTTTGCAAGTTTTTTCTTTAAAAAACAAAAACAAAAACAAAAATAAAAACAAAAACACCCCAGAATCTTGAAGAGTTTCCCTGTGGAAATTAATACTCTTTCTAGAAGTCACATAGAAAATATTTTCAAAACAAATCAGTTCCTTTAACATTCTATTGGATGTGCAATTTCCTATTTGTGTTAAATATCACTGAGAAAGCCTACTTTTTTCTCAATTATTTTCTTGCTAATAGAGTTCTTACTTATTTTGGTTTTACTATTTTGACTTCTATTGATATAGTACTTCAGTTTTATACATGATTTTTCAGATTTTAAAATGGACTTCTGCCAAGATCAAAATAAATTAAGAACAACTTATAGGTACCCTCAGTAATTCAAAAATATTACCTGAGCAATGAGGAAGAGATCCACTCCAGTGTCCGTTCAACTGACACGTACGAGATGACTGCCCTAACAGCGATCGTCTACCTGTGCAGGTATAATGAACAGTAGACCCAAACGTATATTTATCTCCAGACAGGACCGCGTTAGGAGGAACGCCAGGATGGCCACAGTCAATCACTACAATGCATAATTATTGGAGATAAAAAAAGGTTATTATCACTGATCAAACAGTTTGTAGTTATCATTTTCATAACTCCATACATATGTTTTGTGAAAAGTCTGACCTTTATATGATTAGAATTGTAAAATATATTACAGAATAAAAGCTGGGAAACAAATGTTTGGAGATGTTGAAACGGTACAGATATAGATATTTAGATATAGATATTGATGTCCAAAGACACTCATGCACTAAGCTGATCTCTATGCCATGAACACATGTACACACACAAACACACAGTCATACATGTACTCCTCAGAGGATAAATATAGAAAGACAGTAGCTGCCAAAGTCACTGCTGAGGTAGAGAATATGCAGACCATCTCTCATCCACTGGTCTCAAGTCATTGGTCATAAAGTCTGCTATGTTTATAAACAAGATCATTTTTGCTAAATTTTGCTATAAACCTTAATGTTAATATACTAATTTAATATTCCTGGGTTTGGTTACTTAAAATATTGTAAATGTCATATTGTGAGGGAAGAAATGTCAGGACAAGGTGCTACAATAGATATATTGAGAGGACGGCACAAACATCTTAAAAAAACTTGTCTACGTTATTTGGATTTCAAGCTTGGAAGGTGCAGATTACATGTACTCACATCTCATTAGCTTAAAAATAACAAAACCAAGCATGTCTCTAAGAACTAAATTGAGAATACTCTGCAAGAAAAAAACCTGTTAAGGTCACTGGAATTCTTTGAGGTGTATTTTCCAAACATATATTTCATTTTGAGTACATCTCAAATTTAAAGTATTTCTGTAGCAACGTATGCCTAAGTAGCGTAGTCCCCTGAAAGTCTTTAATTCAAAAAGAGAGTTGAAAGGGCATTATGGTCCAGGCCAATGCTGAATGCTACTTCTTACAGGATCTATAGTAGCTAGAATTACTCTAGCTTCAACACATTTCAAAGGAATTGGGTCACTTCACAGGTGATTTTTTTTTCCTTTGTTCTCATGTTTATTCTCCATGACTATAGCGGTATTTCAGAAAAGGTATGTTCTTTGAAACTAGTTAGAAAGAGACTGAAATCCAGCTAGGTTAAAAAAACAATGAAACCTGAGTCAAAGAAAAACATTCAGCCAGCTTTCCACTTATTTTCCATTACTCTTAGAGCGGAAAAATGTGCATACTACTACATGACCATCCTGCATATGTCAAAATTATGCTAAGGCACATGGAGAATGAGA